AATGTCTCAATTCTGGTGGCGAATATGTTGAAAAATAGCTGGACACTTGCTGTATCTGTTGCAATAAATATTTCCATGAAATTGTGTTTTGTTTCTGTAAACGGCCCCAGGGAAACTTACTTTGTAGACCAGCCTCGTATATCTAGCAAGATCTTTGAGATACAAAAAGGACATCATGAACATGTTAAATAAAAAATGATAAATAAGGAAGAAGAGTCTCATACCATGTATTGCTTTCTGAACAAATATTTCTTGTCCTTGTGCCAACATGAGAGCAGATAATGCCCCAAGAGTTTCTGGATTCAAATCTGGGGTTGGGTCTTGCTGGATTGCTAACATAACATTGCCCTTCAGATGACTGAAGATCCCAGCAGCTTGCTACAATAAAATGTACATAAAGAAGTTCATATAAAGTGCAAGAGATTTTTTCTTCAGAAATTACATTCTTTATAAAAGTGAAAATGTGGTTAAATGACAGAACTACACCTTCCTTATATGTCACAAATTATATCATCCCTACAAGGTTCTAACGATGGTGTGTTACACTCAGTATTATTTTTCTGGACTAAATCCGTCATTAAGTATATTAAAATTAAGCAAGCCATGACGTTTCAGGGGTTAGCTCTACCCCCCATCAACAACATAGAGGTTACAGGCAAGAAACTCCACAATGATCATACCCTGTCAGAACATTATACTTTACCAATTAAGGCCATTCCAGAACTGTTGGAAGTCTGTCTAAGAACAGCTTATTGCGAAGCGGATGAGAGTTTTTACCAACACATCTCATCTCCACACGAGAGCAACATATATATGGAAAATTTCAAAAATCTGGCTCTAGACATGGCCGAATGCAAACCAATACTGTCTCTTCACTGTGTGGATGATACGTTCGTTGTCTGGCCATATAGTCTACATAGTGAAAGAATTTTTTAGTCACATCAATAGTTTTATGACATCAATTTAGTTTACTATGGAGATAGAATCAAGTAATATGACTAATTTTTCTGACACTTTGGTTACCAAAAAAAAAGCAGTCATTAACAACCAAAGTTTACAGAAAAACCAACTCACACTCGATGCTACTTGCCTCCAACCAATAAACACACTTTAAATTTTGACAAGACAAGCTTCACGAAATTTGCTAACAACAAAACAATTATAAATTTTAATATAGCTTCTGAAAATAAAACAACCGAAGAAGTATTAACAACTGAAGTTCTTGGTTTATAAACTCATAATAGCAATGATCAAATGCTACAAATTGTTTCTGGCAGAGTTGCTGGCTAAACATTTTGCATTACATCATTCTCCAGAACAAAAATAATAATTTCAATACCTGAAACATTTTGGCAGCTAATTTTAATCCATCATCATTTTCAATACTCTGGGCAACAGCAACTGAGCTTTGTAGTGCTGCTATATTGAAAAGTACACAGACCTTCTCATAGGAAAGAGATGACACAGCTGAAAAATAAAAGTATCAAACAAGTTACTTTAAAATAGCATTTCAATCAATAACTTTATACTGACATGTTACATTTTCATGTAACTAACATGTAGTGCATACTCAGGCTAATCTTTCCACCGAAAATTGAACCCTTATTGAAAGCATCTTTCCACTTAAAAGGAATCTGAACTTCATGGGAAGGAATTTTTCCTTCTAGGCCACAGAGTTGATCATAGTAACTGTAAATAAAATAAAAGAGTCAACATCGTGTCAGCACTGCATGGAAGTATATAAATGTTAGCAACAATATATTATTAATATCATCCATTATTTACTTCATAAAAAAAACCTCCAAACTCTCCTACAGCAAAAAAAGTATCGATACACATTCAAAACACAGTAGGTGCGAAATTTTAGTGAAACATATTACTTATGCATAGGATGCCGTGATTTTAACTCTATTACCTGTAAACAATTTCCAAAGAACTTTCATACTTCTCATAAACACGCCAAATGGCATTATTACGAAGTTTACTCAATTCGCTTATCGCTTCACCATAGTCTTGGGGATTGTCGGCTGTGCTATACGAAGAGGAGATTAAATTTTTTAAAGGTTTAACTATATCAATTTCTGAAGGTTTTTTCATTGGCACTGCCAGTAGGTCTGCCATTTCCAAAAAAAAATATTACGTTCACTACACAGCTAGTTTCACCTCCTTTGTTGGTGCTCGGTAGTCACGAATCTCGAACTACCAACTCATTACTGGCCTTTTTTTTGAAATGACGTCACACTCATGTGTGAAATCACATTCATAAAGTCACTGAATTGTGTTGGCTAACATGTAGAGAATCAAATTCTGTGATGATAGTCTGTGATCGACATTGCAGAGTGTTGTGTGCTAAATACTGTATATGACACATATTTTGTAGGAGCACAGAAGTGAGATAATTTTTATTACAACTATTTGAATTTGTATAATTCTCATACGATTACCTGGTACTTGGAAGTATATTAGTGAACTCTCATGTAGTGCCTGTTGATGACACTGCAATCCAGATCTGGGTAGATAAAAATATCGGTAAGTAACACATTTTATTAGGTCATGCATTGATAACCGAAGTGTGTGCAATTCGTTAACATGTTTTCTATCTGACATGCAAACTACAGTCCAGTTTTATGCACTTTGCATTGGCTAGTGCCAAATGTAGCTGAAGCATTGTATAAGAACATTAAATTTTGGTGATTTTGCCATGATTTCATTCATTGTTCATTATTAATTTGTTTTAATTTCAGATTGGAAGGCGTAATTAGACATGACATTAATAGAGGGGGTGGGAGATGAAGTAACCCAGTTTTTTGTGCTGGTTTTTATTGTATTGGTTGGACTTATTGCATGGTGGTCAACCAGTATTGTTGATCAGCCTCTAATACGCACTGTCTTGATTCTTGAACGGAGAGCTAGGCATCGTATTGAACCAGCTCCAACATCACCAGCAAACTCTTCTCTTGATAACAGTATTGACACTGGCCAGATTGGAGCACCAAGCCCCAACAATGAAAATCAACAGGAAATAGATGGTGGTGCAGCTTGTCAGATAAACAAAGAAGCTGCTAATTTATCATCTCCATTGGTTGCTTCCAGCAGTTCTCAGAATTTGAATGATAATCAAACCTGTGAACTCCCTGAAACCAGCAACAGTATTTTAAATGAGAGGAGCATCTCCAATGAGTACTTCCAAAGTAGTTCATCTCCTGTTTCAGCCACAGGGGATGGGGACAGTTTTGCTGAAGGTGACAACCAAGATGATGTTCAATCTTTTAGCTCAGCTACAAATAATACAGATTCCTATCTTCTTAGAAGGAGGCGTTTAGCTTTTTTCCAGAGCAGACAAGTGACCCTATTAGATTCTCCTGTTACTGATGGACAAGTACTTTCAGCTTCTAGCTCAACTGACACTGATAACATTGATACTGTTAGTAGCACAAATAATGAACAAGGACCCACATTTGTTTCACCTGAAACCAGTGATGATATACCAGAAACTGGGAGCATACGAATACGACTTAAGTATCTTAATGACGATCAGAAATTGGTAGATGGAAGGCTGCATGAACAACTGGGAGACTTCAAGAGGTAGGTTATTTTCCATTTTTTTAGTCAGCCAAATTTAATTTCATATTGTACAATCATCAGCAAATCCCATGCTGCACCACTCACACACAATTGTGTCCTTGCGCATGAAATTCTGCTGAGATTTGCAAAATATACTCAGTTGACTTACAGTATATTTTTTTAATTGAGATTTACTTATGGAATGTAATTAAGATGTATGTATGTGTGTGACACTGTATAGCTGGAATAGGTCACTTAGTAAACTGGCTACTGGCTGAACACCCAAGTTTCAGATTTTGGCGGGGAGCAGGGATTTTTCTGTATGTATACATGTTAGTTGTACACAGTATAGGGGCAAACATAGACGAGAATTTATTTATGTGCATTCTGTAGATCCTTCATAGGCCAATGCCAAGTATGTAGAACATGTCATAGCACAGTTTGTTGGCCAAGAAATTCAGTTGTTTCTACTTTTTCATTTGTTTCATCCTTAACCTGCCTAGATAAACATGATTTTTGTTTGTAGTACAAAATTTCATGCAGCTTTGTTAGCTTTAATCCATTTGTTCAAGGTGGTAAAGACATCATCTATGCAAATTTGGAAACAATTTGTGGATGTGAAATAATAATTGTAGTATCATCTGTAAAAAGTATGAGTTTGCACTAAAATGTAATGGCTGGCAGTAAATCATTGAAATATGATGCTGATTATGAATATGAATACATTAATCTGAATTAGTAGTAATATTACTTCTAAGGTGTTTGTTACTTTCCTGGGGCGTGATGCTGACCACTCACCCCCATCTAGTGCCGAGGTCAAGAATGAGGAGCTATATCTCCACTCCCCCCCAAGCGCCTACATGGCGTATAGTGGGACAGCTTTACTTTGCTTTTGTTACTTTCAACTGCGTTAAACATGTATGGTCTGAAGTCACAGCGACTAAGTGTAATGAATTCTTCATCTAATGGTGTTTTCTCCACTAAACCACCTTACACTGCTGGTAGCCCGAGAAGAATTCTTTGCACTAAACCATGTTATGTAGCTGCACATATCAAGTTTATCTGCTACATTAGCTGAGTTTTATTTTTCAGACCAATGAAGTTGCCAGTTTAACCCTCTGCTTTCACAATCTTGATACTATTTTTTTTTCATACTGTCACTCTTGTGAGTCTGTTTTATTAACATTGTTTTCCTGCGATGTCTGAATTAATACCTTGAAATTGTTCTCATTCTTCCATTATAACATGGTCATTGAATTAATACCCTTCCATACATTCTTCTGTATTCCATATTATCCTTTCCCTGTGTATCCATTTTACAATCTATCTTTGTAATGGCCAATGTGCGTAGGGTAACGTCATATTTTCACGATCCTCATTTGTATTAATTTGGCATATGCCCCTCAGTTTTGCTTGGAGGGGAATTGTTTCTTAAACAAAGTAAAATTGTCTTTCAGGCGTCACTTTCATCTTGAGCTGGCTACTGACAAATTAGTTCGTCTCATCTTTAAAGGGCAGGTACTGCAGAGTGATAGCGAGACCTTGCAAGGCTATGGGTTGTTTGACAACTGCGTAGTACATTGTCTTGTGCACCAGCAGCGCTCTCGGTCCATGAATCGAGCTGTCGCCACTGAGAACCAGTCAGCACAAGATTCATCAACTAACTCCAACACTGCAGGAGATGCAGCTCCTCAAAGGGACTGGGATTTGGGAAATGTTCTGTTTGTTTCTTTGAGTGTTCTGTTGGGTCTTGCATGGTACTGTCGCTATCAGTATGCCCAGCTGTTTAATGCTACTACTACAGTTGCGCTGGTAGGGCTTACAGGAATCCTTACTGTGTCTCTTATTGGAATCTATCTTCCAGACCAAGATAGTGTCAGGCAATAAACTTTTATTTTGTAAAAGTTTTAGGTGGGTAAATCCACTCACCTGCTGGCAGATTAAAAGAGGTACTCTTCCAATATTAAGTCCCCTAGGATGATCTGTATATCTGCATTTGCTAACAGTACATTGGATGAAAAATTATCCTCTTAATGGAATATTAAATATACTATTAAACAACAATTATGATTGGCAGGATTGACCACATAGGAACTTGTGCCACTGTTAACACTTGTCAGATCCAAAATTGTGTTTTTTCACCAAACAAGAAAATAAGTAACAGCATACTTAAGATTGACATGAAATATAAAAGTTTACAAAAAGAAGAAATGGTAATCAAGATGCCAGAAAGACATATGAGATTATCACAGCAGTGAAAATGAGGATTGTGATCTGGGTTTTGCCCCATGTAACTGTCTAGGTGGTTAACAACATTTCAGAGGACAGTTCTACCTGAAGGTGGTGATACATATTCCTCTGAGATGTTGGCGGACACCTATAAAACTACACCATCATAATCCAGAAGACCATACTCTCCTGGAAGGTAGAATATTTGTTTCATTTGTCAGTACAGCCCTCTTCCAAATAAATTTGGATCTTGTTGTGCAAGCCACCAATTTTTACTGTGGGTACACAAATTAAAACTGCAAATACATAAAGTTATGTACTGTGATCAGCAAAAATGAATACGTAATTTGTAAGGGATTGCTGGTCCAGTATATACATTTTATTTATTTTCACAAATAAGATATTTTGGTAACTGATCCTGCAGATGTAAAATATATTGTCAACTTAGTTCTTTGGAAGATAATTTTCTATTGAAGTCTACAACTTGTTCTCATCCTATTCTTGTAAAATAATTTTCAAAACTGAGAACATTGCAAAGGGGTTATGAAGAGTGTTCTTTCTGTATTACTTTGAAAGCTTTAAAAAATTTTACTCTACAAGCAATTGCTATAAAATGGAGAATCACTGTGTAACTTTCTGTCGTAGGGCTTTGAAACATTCTGAAATTCTGCTTATAACATGAATATTGCACCTCTGACAGTACCCACTATGTGTCACCTATTAACATTTTAACCATCTGCAGAGAGTTATCTGATCAAGTTACATAATTTTTCCTTCTTTTCTATGTTTTGCATAGTATATTAAAGTACATAGCAAAATTCTTGTGTGACTTTATTAAATTAATAGATGTACATGTGTAAATGTTGTGTATATATGATTTTCTCTGTCCCCCCCCCCCCAATAAATTTTTAAAGCATTTTTGATCAGGGATGTTGAAATTTGAAATGTCTGAATTTTATCCGTAAGGCTTTTCATCCAGTTCCTTGTTTCTGTGTATGCAATACCATCTGAATTACTAAAATATTTTATGTGTAAAATTTGTGAACTAGGAAACAGTAAAATAATTTTTGTAAATACTGGTACTCAGTACTTCCTTTGTTTGCAGGCTTTGTGTGTATTTATCAGTTAGGATAGTCGGTCAGCCAAGGTTTGGACTATCAACCTCCTGAATATAAGGGAGTAGTGGTACTAAGATTTGGTTTGAACTGTGTGATCATATACGTGTACAAAGAATTCTATTCGTGATTTATGTACAGCTGTGAGCACTTATACTGGGTGCCGTCACAGGTATTGTGAATTGAAAAGCGAAGCTGAATAGACCAAGGATGTTGCACATGCCAGCCTTATTTAAAATTTAAATTGGTTGAATACCGGAATGCGAAATAAATGTCAATACGTTGCTAAATTAATTGAGAAAAACATATTGCTGTTGTACACTGATAAACTTATAGCATGATATGGAAGATTTGAAGTGAATTACACATTTGAAGCAATGGAACTGAATATGAATTTTATCGAACTGAGTACTTTTGGGAAGGTGAATCAATTTTTCTCAGTGGTAACTAATGAATATGAAAGTATTGTAAAACATTCCTATTGAATCCAGTACACTGAGAAAATTAGTTAGGCTAATAGAAATGTGTTTAAAATGAAACCCACAATCATATCTGTACAGGTAACCCTCGATTTTCGCCAGTTCAATTTGCACCGATTCAGAATAATGCCGCTTTTGAAACCAGCAAGTCAAAAAAATATATTTTACTATTACTTATAATGTTTTACAATGTTTCTCGTACTGATTCTTATACTAAATCGTAATTCTTACATCGCCGATTTTGAATAAAAATTATAAATACAGTCACCTCTGCAATTACGTATGTTTCGTTAACGTGAACTTGCTCCAATGAGATCGCTGAATCGGTAAAAGCTGTTTGTGAAATGCAAACTTTTGCATATGCGAGTTTGCCCTTGTGCAGTTTAATTCCTGGCACTTTAAACTTTCAAAGTGCTAATTTAATCTCTGCGGAGGTACCAGGGTTATTTTTACTATGCGATTTTCTATAGGTTGGCGTCTTACATGAATGCAACTATCGCATAACAGCAGAGATGACTGTACACAACAATCACATGAAAGAATCGCAGTCAATCGTGGGGACCAACGAATTGTCGATTGTAAGTGTATAAAATATATTTTTTAAATTCCCTTTATTTTATTTACGTTATTTCAGAGCTCAAAATGCAATACCATTATGTTACTCATCAATGTTTGGGTGCTGGGAACGCATGTCATTAACTTCCCATTGATTTGCATTATAAAAAGAGTTTCAGTTTACGCTGGTTTGTCCAGGAATGCATGCCCGGCGTAAATCGAGGGTAACTTGTATAGTTAAACATTACCTGGTCAGAATGGTCTGAAACAAAGATGTGAGGAAAAGGTGCCAATGAGACAAATGTAAATGAAACAAAAATACTTTGTCACCATTCGTTTTAAACTCAGTTTTAGAAAATGCCACAGTGAAGTTCCATGTGAATCAGGAGAGACTGCAATTGAATGAATTTTTTTTATCTGTACTGCTGATGTTAATTTACTGGGCAAAATCATACATACCATAAGAAAAACAAGCTTTATTAGACATCAAAACATAGCAAACATAAAGTATATAAAATAATACTTTCTAGTGCATAGTAGATATTGGGCCAATTTTGTATCTATGTAGTGCCATAAACTTACAATATAGAAAGCAACAAAAGATGGCCATTACTGATTAATGGTAAGATACCAAGTTTCACACCTATAAAAATAGTTTTGTATGTTTTAATCTTCAAGCTTCATAGGAAGACCGAAAAATAAAGATTCTAACAAAAACAGCCCTATTTCCATCACAATGTTAACTCTAATACAGTACAACCCCTCTACAATGTGGTTCTGGATATAACACGGGCACCTCATGTCCCCCATAGTGCAGCAAAAAAAAAAAGTGCATCAATTCCTTCACAAGAACTCAAGATTCATTTCTTAACATGTACCATTACATTACCTACGAAGTAGCGATAATTTTTGTGCATACTGTACTTTTATTCAAAAGCCTTTATTTATATACTGTACTATGACTCGTAACGTAGGGAAGTGTACTGAACTAATTAGGCGTAACAGACCTACTATAAACAGGATGTTTATTTTACAATAGCCATCATTTTGGGTAGTTCTTCGAAATACCGGTTGGCAAAAATAGTTTATTTTAAAATAAATTTCAAGTTGTACAGGATATGACCACGTTCAGTTACCCATTGTCATTCACAGCTGTCGTGTCATGCAGTTTTACCTCTGGTGTAATTTTATTGTGAACTATCAAGTATGCTAAAAGCGTTTTTTTCTTTTAATTTCCTTACGTACATTTTGTCCTGTATTTTTGTTTACCGCTAAAATAAAGTGACTTGTATTTTTAAACTGCTTTCATTTCCAATGCACTCCCGTAATAACGCGTTTTCTCTATAACGCAGGTTTACCCGCCCCCCACGACCCGCGTTATAGCGGGGTTGTACTGTATAAAGAAATTTATCAATTTCAAACATTTGCAATATAACAAATGGGCAGTTGGAACCATCAAGGTACTTCACTTTTAGGGCTGATGGTAGAATTTGTGTAACACCCCTTTCTAAACCTTTCATTTGTATTTACCATATCTGGGTAACAAGAATTTGGCTGGGTCTTAGTGAAGGGCAAACTTTTTTTTCTTACGCAGTGCATATGATCAGCAACTTAGGAATGTACCCAACAACTGGTTGACTTTGGGTTGCATTCAGGATATTCTTTGATGTTTCCCTTCTTATTAGGCCCATCAGTTTCATTTTCTCTTATGCATATGCATCTGTATGTGTGAGATCCTGGATCATAGAGTTGCCTTGGTACTCCAATCCAATCCCGCTCAATACCACCACTGAAACAGAGTTATATATACTGAATCAAGTAAGAAGGTACAAGGCATAATATGGTAAATGAGTTCTACAAAAGTATACCTCCGTGTTGAACACCATACGCGGCTTCCCGACTCCAGACTCCATTCTGCATTACATGGAGGGTATGAGAGTTTTTCTTTATCTTGTTCCTCTTTGGTTCTTTTTGCTTTGTTTATTAATTTCTTTACTTGATGGTAATATGAAGTTGGCTGGCCTTCATCATCATAATATCGACCAATTACTTTGCCTGCAATTATTATAAATTAAAAGGAGTGAATTTTTTAACAAATAAGTAAAAAGTAAATCCATTTGCATAAAACATTAGTATAACAGCCTTACCCTTATATTTATACTCTTTATGGTAATACTGGGCCCATTCATGAAGATTAATGAGTTCCTTTACTGTAAGACCAGTCACATCATCTGTTAAGCCAGAATCTGTAAAATCTCCTGTAATGAAGGCTCTGCTACCGTCACGGCCTGTATGTAGTGATCATTACATTAGAAAAGTACCTGCAGGCTGAAAATTTTGGCATGTTTGTGTGTGTTTGCAGAATAGAATGTGAGTCATGTTAATAATTCAGTTTGATGTAGTAGAGGCCAACATCATGAGTAGAAGCATCAGTTAAAAACCCCAAACACAACATAAATTTCATTCTTGCTGGTTTTCATTGCAACATAATAGTTAATTTGAAAACAGTTATAAGATCTTCAAAAATGATTTATTAATAAACAGTTAAGACATTACAAAAATGTCAATTGTAGTCTCTATTGTGAAGCCACATAATTTTGTAATTGTTAATATTATCTTTATTTCTTCTTACATTTTTACATGCATGTCTTTAGGTGTTTTCTGTGCATCTTTGATCAATCTGAGATTTGAACCTAGAATGTTTACCATTTCTGCTATTTTCAATACTTCGTGGTTTTAAATAAACAACTGACAGACGTATTACGCAAATCTGAACCTACTTATAATGTTTACCATTTCTGCTATTTTCAGTACTTCATGGTTTTAAATATACAACTGACAAACGTATTACGCAAATCTGAACCTACTTACGTACCTGTAAAGAAATGGTAGTTTCCCCCAGATGCATAAAATTTTTCGCCTTTCCCAACATCATACACCTTACCAAGAATTGCTAAGTACAACCCCTTGTTTGATTCCGAGTATTCCTGTAATTCTTCTTTGGTAAATAATACATCTTTACTTTTCCTTGGCACTCTACTATACCCCGAGTCAAACCATTTAAAAACTACAGTACCATACAGATCAATCAATGTTGAGTGCAACTGCGGATAAATTGTAAAAAGCTGACTGAATGATGATAGATGATAATCATGTAAGTAAAGCATAATACCAAATACTGCCATGGACATTAATATGACGTATTTTACAAACATTTTGGACTCAAATTACATGCCTCTACAGCATGTCACACACCTACGCCATATCTACGTTTGAACAACCATTACCAGCATAAACTATGATTTCAATCTAACGGTGTGAAGTAATTTTTCAAACGTTGGCAATGGGAGATGGAAAGGACAGTGCCATGTTAACCAATATTTATAACAATTTATAATGCAGCTTTCGTCGCGGCTCATTACCTAAAGCCGATGCTATTATTTATAATGCAGCTTTCGGCGCGGCTCATTACCTAAAGCCGATGCTATGTATAATCCCACATTACTTTGTATACCTGTCTGTGTATACAGACCAAAACTTTTAAATTCTTGTGCCAATCACACAGTTCTTATTAGTAATTATGATATAATAAATCATGAGATTTAAAGTTTTCGCGGCTGTGAGAATATTTTATTTACTGTGTACCAAACATCCAAAGATTAAATATAAAGAAGTACAATTTCCCTTTGCTCAGATGGGATGATGATATTAAAATGAGCCTTCGGAAACCTCATTGTGATTTGTCTTGGCATAAGCGAAGTTTGCTTGTTTTTATGGTCTTGTAGGTGGTTAGCTACCATAGATAAAGGCCATGGAGCCATGGCCATAATTCTAATGAACCCTGAAAACATTGTCTAGCGCGAGGAGTATGTAAGTGATCTGATATCTGAAGCGTCCAACTAAGGAGGCCATGTTTTGCTGCAAAAAAGTACGCCATATTGCCTATAATGTGAGGTGTTTATCTTATATGTTTTTTGGAATGTGCTGCGTATGTGAAGTTCGCATTATTGCTAACAAACTCTCAGGGGCTAAATTAAACGTCTACCTTCATGCAGCTCAATTCCTTTTCATGTCATATTGTAAAGTTATGTTCATTCGGGTGTGAATTTTGAACTGAATACATTGTTTCGAAAAGAAAAATGAAGGATTAGGTCATTTATTTCTTTGATATTTATATTGTGTTGACAGTTTGCGTAGCAGAACATATTTAGATTTATCTGCACAACATTTTAAGAAGGAAATCTAGATCGGTTAAAGGATAGTGTTGACGTTTAAGGTGTCACCTTCATTAGCAAGAGAAACGAGGTGTATTTCAGATGTGACTGTCGAAATTGAAGCTATTCAACGGCGTGTTTAAAGCGAACAGTACAAAGCTGTATTGCCATCTCCATTAGAACTACATTTTTAACCACTTACTGTCTTCTGTAATTGCCTCATTCACATGGTGTGGTTTGAGGTTGTGTGAAGTTACATCCTCATCCCAGTCCAGTCTTGATCGATAGAAGCATAATTGCTCCTGGGATGTAAGAACAGAGCTTAATGAAAACAGGCGTCAGAAACCGAAGATCTCATGCAATGAGGCCTAGATCTTTTAGTACAAATTTTATTGCCTAACAGAATAGTGAAAGTTGACTAGTGCCAAGGCCTATGAAGAGGATGATCATATTTCAGCTAGCTGATTGGGCTCAGTTTGAAGTTGATCTTCCCTGATGTGTTTAAAGTTTTTCTGCCTGCTGCAACACTAGAAGCACACCACAGTTCCAATGTTTTCCTGGATTCAGTTGAAAACATCATTGTTATTTGTATGTTTTGGTAAGTTTAATAAGTGGCCTTTCATTCTCACTAGTCATTTCAGTTGCTGTTTTAAAGCATGTTTTACACAGACAGTTGTAGCTGTGTTTGTTTTGTTGTTTATTGTATACCACAATAAGCAGAAAATATATGTAGTTGTTTACTTGGTATATGAATGTATATTATGATTGACAATTTGATGTTTGCATGCTTGTTTTCTTGCAATTATAAAGGAGATATTTAAATTTGAGTGAACCTCATGGAATATTATGGAATTATATAAAGCATAAACTGTTGATATTTTTTATTGTTCTGTTTTGCCATGCCAATAGTTAGAGTGACAGGTTGGGATAGTAGGCTAGTTGTGGAAACACAGAAATTCTTTAACCTATCAGAAGCTGACTGTTGGAGAGTCACGTCTGGTAGAGTGCTTTGTTGTGATGAAGCATCTAATTGTTCCGCTTTTTCTCCAGTCTTTTCTTTTGGATGTTCTCTCCGAAAAGCAAGATTTCATTGTAAAATGCTGAATTAACAGTTTGACTTTGGATGGTCTCTCCGAAAAGCAAGATTTAATTGTAAAATGCTGAATTAACAGTTTGAATTTGGGGAACAAATTCTGAATGATCAATAACAGTGACAAAGAATGCAGACACACACTTTGCGTAGCAAGATAAATTTGATGGTGCTGATTGCTGGGATGTGGAGGAGTGAGCTGCTATGCTGTGGGAGAGGAGCATGTGTTTGAGGAAAGGAGGTTTTGGGAGGAGGTGATGAGGGTGTTCTGATCACCATGTTGGGTGGGAAAGGATTTGCAGCAATTATGTGGAACAGAGTGGTGGCTAATAATCAGCCATGAAGTTTGGAGAGGTGATAGTGGACTTGCCCTTTTGAGGGCCTTGTAGGCTCCTTGGTTTGGGGGAAAAATAGATGAAGCCAGGCTTTGCGTAGCCTTTAGCTATCTTCGCATTTGGAGTTGTGTGGGTGATTACACTCATATTCCACCCACTAGCATAACACTTGTTAAGAAGGCCTCTGAGTGATGTTCAGAAGACTGGAGATTGTGAAAACTGCATTGGTCATGTTTTGAGAATTTCTTTTGGTATTGTACAAGTCTGGTATGGAGGCTACTCTTACAGATACAGATCTGTCTGTAAAAACAAAGTTGTGTGGGATGTTGGTATAGAACTGTGGTGCACGACATAACATAGATCTTGGTTTTGGGTCCAGAACATTGACTAGTGACATCATAAAGTCTTACAGTAAAAATATCATGAAGCTTCTTATAGCAGGTCTGAAATATATATGCAGAATTGGTGTCCTGGATTTTGTCCATCATCTAAATTTTAATGTTTTTCTAGAGTATACTTTAACATGGCTTTACAAGCAGTGTTTGTGATTCTGGTCCACAGGAGCATCAGGCAGCAATGTTGCAACCACTGCACGCTGTGAATATTACAATGATACGTTATGTCAGGAATCTAAGCAAGGGTGTTTTGAGACTCAGGAGTGTGAACAGCCTGAGCCCGAAAAGCGGAATCACTGTTTTGTGCTGTGGCAGAATAATAGCATTGGGAAGCCATACATTAAACTTAAGGTGGGTTAACATCTCTTTTTGTGCCTAATTTGTATTGAAGTGTGTTCGTAATATTTGTTCCGTTAAGAACTTTATCAGAACCGTTCTTTGTGCTGAAATAAGAGTGTTTTATGTGTGCGGACTGGTTATCTATATTTTGTAAGCATTTAGTTTAAATATTCTTTCTTTCTTTCTTTCTAACTTTGATGGCAGGGAATTTCTTGACTACCTGTATAACCGTCAGCTTGTCAGGAAGGACTCTTCTGCATGGAGTTTGTTTGTTATGGTGTTTGATGAATCAAGAACGTTGTTTAAAAAAACAAAAATTATTTTATTGTGGTGTACTACAGTATCTGCATGCTTCAAGGTCACAGTGAAATTGTACAGCACTAATAGTAAGGCACAGGTGAGTGAAGACAGCTCAGAATTCACAGCATAACAAAGGTAGCAACCTGGAACCGGTGACTTAGAGCAGTGGTGTTCAACCTGGGGTACGCGAAAACATCTTAGGGGGTACGTGAAATTTAAAAAAAATATATGTTATTTTATGATAAACACTGAATAATCAGTAATGTAATTTATTTAATTTATTTTAGATGTAGATTATATACTACGTATAACTTGAATTATACACCAATAACTTTGGGGGTACAAATTTGAAGAGAAATATCTGGGGCTACGCAAACAAGAAAAGGTTGAATACCACTGACTTAGAGCATCATGGTAAGGGGTTGAAGTCACGTGTTCTTGAAGCTTGCAGTTTTCTGATGGCTGCTATAGGGGAAGTCAACAGTAAATTGAAAACACTAATACAGAATTAATATGTTATGTTTAATTCTAGATAAAGTCATTCCTTACTCAAAAAAATGTGAGAACATCTAAGAATTACAAAGGTGGCTGTCTTCTGGGTTGTAGTGCCATGTAATCTGATGGAAGATTACCATTTGAGAAATTCTTGCAGCGTTCATCATCAGGGTTATAAGTGGTCACCATGATGATGGAGGCAGCATTCATTGCCTTGTACAGACATTGAATTTCTGGATTCATGAAAGCCTGATTTATTTTTCAAGATGTAGGCTCTTTCAAATGAAACCTGTGCAGGTATTGTTCTGGACAAAGGTATACAGTCTATTAAAATAATCGATGTGGACATTGAGGCAGGCACCCTATTGATACATGAGCTGATGGAGTCCCTTGAAAAAGAACTTTTTGAATTGTTACTGTAACCAGTGCATCACCATGGCCTTGACACTTTTGTCTTACCCACATCTGTGTCCTTGTTGTGCTTTCTTGATCTGGCCAAACATCACATGGTGACAGGTTGTGGTCACATGGGGATGGTCAGACTATTTCCAGTACATGAAGCACATGTCCTGGACAGTGTAGACTGCATGGGAATTGACATTAACATGCAGTACAGTGACACTTCTCATGAGCCTGCTGGATTGTTTCTCTTGATGGCAGTAAAAGGTTTTGCAACTTTTCACTATTGCGCTGTGCATTGATTGTGATGTCAGGGTCCTTGAATGCCAGCATTAGCAGTCCGTTCATGTGAAAGAAAACAGTCAACGCTACCTTCCTTGGACATGTTCGGCACTTCAGTTTCTTGGAGTGGGGAGAGGACATATGTTTCCATTGCATGATTACAGCATTTCCTGTGGATTGAAAGTGGTAAAATCACATCTTTTTGCCCTCAAAAGTACATCGCTTTCTGTGTGGTCGCACTTCATATGCTGCAGCAGTAGTGCCATACACTGTTAAAAATCTGTTGGCATTTACAGATCTATTGGGTTCAGGACTTGTGATATCCCATGCATCGCATGATTGTGTGCACAGTGTCGATGCTCATATCAAATTTTGCAGGATTGCTCTGATGTCTGTCTGCATGAACAGCTTCCTTCAGGTATTGCAACAACACGAAAGGCCGTGCCTCATCATTCATTTCATCCCACACTGAATGGAACTTCCATTGCCACTCCATGCACATTCTCCAGTGAATTTCAGTTGCTTGGCAACTCTCGGCACCAAGGAACTGAATGGCGCAACTTGTTTGTCCTGTTTGGACAGATTCTGTTTCTTTAAAATCAGCATTTAACCATGTCACACTGTTCCCATCTGACATGCCTCATATGTTACTTACTTTGTAGTTGATCTAGGTATCTTGCACACATACACGTGATCACCCGTGTTTGGCCATATTTTCCAGCATTATCATCAGTGGGTTTAATTTGATTAACTCTCATATACAAATTAATAATGATACATATTTTTTTTTCTGTAGAAAATAAGGAAGAACGAGTTTTCTGTTGAGAATAAATGGAGTATATAGTTTGCTTGAATTATTTAAGTGGATTTTTATGTGTGTACAATGAAAATTAGCCTCTCTGTGTTTTGTTTGTTCTGATGAAGCTGCTTTCAGATTTATTTGGTACTATCACTTAATACAATCGTGTTTTGTTAAGGAAAATCAACATGTGGCAGTTAGCAGTTAAATAATTTACCTGGGATAACATTGTGTTCTGGAGGAACAAATCTACCAGCGATTTCCGTCTTCTGGGTTGTTGCGCTGTGTAGTCTGGTTGATGTTAACCAACGTTTCAGAGGTCATACTGCCTCCGTCATCAGGGTGATGACGGAGGCAGTATGACCTCTGAAACGTTGGTTAACATCGACCAGACTACACAGCGCAACAACCCAGAAGATGGAAATCTTCATACTCACCGTTGTGAGAACCTCAAGTCTTACAAATCTACCAGCATTTGCAGCTTAAGTGTCAATTTCACAGTAGTTGATTTATATATATGATTTTATTTGAAAAAAATAAAATACTAAATTGTGTATGCATTTCTAAAAATACTATATTTTGCTGTTGTGGTTAGCTTTGATCTGATAGGAGATTTACTGTGTAATATGTAGAATAGCTTTGAGTTGACAAAAACTGACATTTTGTCATCAAGTATTCATGACAAGAAGGGAAAAGTAATGATCATTGACATTTCTGTCAGAGTAATTATAGAAAACGCACAATGGTATTAATAAGTACCCCACTGTAAGGAGGGGTAAAGTGATGATTCAGTTTAAAAGGGAAAAAAACATAAATGCTAAAGCAAAGTGGTCAAAGACTTTTGGAACTTATTTTGTGGGTGATATGTATTGTGTGCTGTATTCACAGGGTTGCTTCTTGAACAACATCGATTGCTATGATCAGCCTAAATGTATAGAGAAGCGAGAAGAGCCAAAGAAGGCTCTTATGTTCTGCTGCTGTGAGGGTGACATGTGCAACCGCAACTTTACATGGGAGCCTGTCTCTACCCACCCTCCACCCAGTCGTAAGTTTTAGTGCGGCGACGCACCTTCTGCACGGTTATTTAATTAAGTCCCCGTCCTGTGCATAAGCACATTTGGAACGGGTATTGCTGTTACTAAGTGGAAATAGTTTATTTAAATAATCCAATAATTAGTCTCTGCAGACTTCTTTCAGTTTTAATCTGTACAAAGATTTGAATTTTTGTGCTACTACAGACTTTTTGAGAAAGCTTATCAGTATAACTTTTTAAATTATTATATTACTAAAGTGTTCATACTTTACGTTCTAGACATTGTTTTTGTAGACACTGTAATTTTATGACTTAAGGACTCGTTCTTCACTTTTGAATATTGTCTTGTCTTCATGTTCCTACAAGGGAACTGAAGGATTCTGATGGGTTTAATCCTATATCTAACAGAAGAAGTTGTCCTTCTGTTAGATGATTCTGTGCATTCGTAATACCACTGTCATCTATAATATACTTTCTAGTCCCCTATCAATATTTTATTCAGTGCCACCTTAACTAAGTGGAGGAGCCAGTGTAGTTTTTTTTTGTAGTAGATAAAATGCACCACGTAGTAACTGTACTATTATATTTAGAATTTCTTTAAAGGAACCCTAAACATGACCTATGACCTTGTGCATCAAGAGCACAATAAAATATGTTGCTATCATTGGTCCAAAACTTGATTCCAAACAAAGTGTAGGATTTCTGGGGCACAGTGTGGTAGTTTTGGTCATGAAGGACCTGAAATTATTATGCAAGAGTCGTCAGGTTTTATCTCCCGTGATTGCTTTGAGGTAAAAACCAAATCCATGCACATATAACCTGAAGTTCAGTCTTAGTGCCACTATAACTATAAGAAACTAAACTGCAGTGCTGACCAGTTCAGACAGTGAGGCTACTAATAATACAGTGGCACATTTGTGTTTGTTGCACCTGGTACGGGATCTGCGTCTAGTGGCAGTGAATGTGTTAAATTATGTTTCTGTTTTATACTAATATCTATTAGCACTATTCATTATATAAGCCGGGATAGCTCAGTCAGTATAGTGACTAGCTACGGGCTGGACGACCGGGGTTCGATCCCCGACGGGGGCAGAGGATT